GTTGGTTAACAACAGATTTTTTAAAAATAAGCAAGTCCTTATCTATTTGTAAAATTTTAACGAAACCCCTCTATTCTGCTCGTTGGGTACCACTCCCTTAAATTATTTATTAATATTTTAAATAGAACTGTTACAAGTTAAACAAGTTCTAGCATTAAGTGAATTTTTATGCTTTTGTTTAATTTTGAAAATTATTTAAAAAAGTTACCTTGATGAGGCATGAATGTATTTAATAAAGGAAAGATTTTACGAATTTTATTACTTAAAATATAAAATTTTCGTTTAAAAGAAACCATTATTTATTTAAGATATGCACAACTGAATATTTTATATAATACAGCACATCACAAAACATCATATTGACCGAGATTTATATATTCAAAATAATATACCGGGTGTCCAGAAAACTTTCTAACCCTATGATGTTTAAAGAATTAGTCGTATACTATAAGAAAAGCGAAGAACGTTTTCCTTGGTCACAAAGGGGTTAAGAATATTCTGATGTACATTTAAATAAAAACAATTTTGTTAAAAATAATTACAAATCAAAGTTTGACCTTTCAGTTTAGATTAATGAAATATACTAAAATACGAGTATTTAAAATTTTGGTGAAGGCGCCGGGTGAATAATTTTCCGTTCTTTCATTAGTTTAAATTTTGTTTGATATGTCAAAAGATAATAAATAATTTCCATGTTATTATAAATTAGCATTAGAGATTTTCAATAGTAATATAATTTCGTTAATTAAAATACATTAAACTGAATTAATCTTTAACCACTACAGATAACCTCAAATTAATGAAGAAAAATTTTTTCTGCAGTCACGCCCTCGTCGGGAATCGAACCCAAGCCTCTGGTTTTACGCACTATTATTCTACTACCAAGCTACGAAATATATACATTAGTTCGACGATTCTATGACTACGTAGTTAGGTAAATATCGTCGTTGTTGCTGCTGTCAGCTTTCGAAGTTTATTGTTAATAGTGGAATAACGGTCCATAAAATCAAGGAACCGGGTTCGATTCGCGGCGAAGGCATGACAGAAGCAACAATTTTTTCTCATTAATTTGAGGTGATGTGTAGTGGTAAAAATTAATTCACCTTAATGTAGTGATATCAACCCTACAAAAATTCTTCTAAATGTTTCTTCCTTAATTGAATCAAACTCAATGAGTGATGGTTATTATCTGATAAAGCTATCCCATTACCAATGGATTATTAAAGGTTTTCTGTACACCCTGTATATTTAAATTGAAAAATGTCATTATTTGTAAGACTTAAATAAAAATAATAGGATGAAGTTTCCTTATTAGTATCTGGTTAAACTAAAAAAGATGTAGATATTAGACATTAGTAAATTAATAATCGGTAATTAGTTTATTAATATCTTTAGCTACTGACGATGAGTTTTATTAAGAAACCCATACATTTATTAAAAAGCTTCGCTTTTAATATTGGAAATTAATGAAACGTATAGAAAAATACGAATATATCAATTGAAAATATATCATTTTTAGTCTCAAAAAAAATACATCTAATGTTATATCAGGAAAAAAATATTACCATTGAATTTTTACCATGAATTTTCTTTCAATCGTTCATTCGCGATGAAAGAACAATTTAAACGAAAACTATTTGTAAAAAACAAAATATAAAAGCATAAATGAAGGTCAATCATAATCATGTTTCCAAGTTGTAAAATTAGAGCATTTATATACAGCTTAGTAGCTATAAACTTTGCGATAAATTTGATAAGCAATTTGGTTTAATGAGTGCAAAATTTACCCTATTCATAAATTATTATCCGTAAAATTATTTTTCATGCAGCATGCTAATAGTATTGTTTGTATAAGTGTTCATCATTTAGTAGGTGCATAGGTTTATGAAAAAAATAAAATAAAGCAAAAAAGGAAGAAATATCGCAGAAGAAAATCTAATGGAGTTATGTCGAATTGAATTAAACTTCTCAAAACTCGAAATTAAACGTTTAAAAAATCTAATACACGTTTTGGCAATAGGGATTAAGTTAAGCTAAACTCAAAAGCTTATTATACAAGGTGTTCTACCTAAGGCGGTTTCGTCTATAAGTTATTATACATTTAATAAAAATGGTTTGGAATCGTATGTTGTATATACAGTAAATATTTTCAGTCATACAGGGTGTTCCATTTCATCTGGACGTTACCTAAATTCGTTATTTTAAATGAAAACCCCTGTATATTTTGACACTTTTAGCTTCTTTGTATAATTTTAGGTTGACATTGTTAACTGTTCCCTGCACCTATCTTTCGTTTTTGAGATATTCAACTTTTTTTAAAAAACATTACGATTTCAACTGTTTGAGTGCGACCAAATAGCATCTAAACCATAAAAGTTAAAAACCTACGGTTTGTATAGTTTTTTGCTAAAGGAAAAATGTGTACGTTATTTAAAGTCGGAAATATCGAAATCTACTTTTGACAATCTTTCGAATGGAATGACCCATTTTACATGATACCCTTCGATGCGAAATTAAAAACCCTTTTTACTGAAATAAAAGGTTTTAAATATAAAATAATCGATTTCAGAGATAAATATTTAAAAACTGTATGGTTACGATTTCACCCTTATATGCCCTGAAATTTTAAAATTACGAATAAAAACTTTTTAGACTATTACAGAGAGATTCTTATTGAATAGTGAGATTTTACAGGGCAGATTCTTTTAAATCTTATTATAAGGTAGGACAAGAAGGACTAGTAAACGTTCAGTACGATACAAAGAAGATTGAACATACAGGGTGTCCATTTCAGACCAGTATTGCTACATTAAATAAATTAAACAAAATGGCGGTATTTTTAGTTCGTTTAGAATGTTGCCGGATTTTATTTAATTTTTGATGTACAGGGTTTTTCTAAAAATTGCACAAACTTCAAATTAAAATAATATCAAAACGAAAGAATAAAAGAAAACATTTTTGACAATGGGTTAACTATTACACAATTTTTGAGGTCGCACCATTCCTGTGGGAAGTTACGCCAGATATTTTTCATCTATTATATCTAATAAGACATCCTTGAACTTACTCCTGTGCGTCCTACTCAATGAATTAGATTCACTACTTGTATAAAGTATAATTGTGAAACCTCAATGTTTGTACATACTTTAAGATATTGAATCATCTTCGTATAGTGCTTCTGAACACATAAAGTTGATTTATGACTGCCTACAAGAAACGCCGACAATTTAGATTACACCAAACGAGTGTAGAAATTGTATGTTTTCATTCGTAATTTTAAAATTTCTGAATGTTGTAGGCAAGAATGATAACTATATAATAAGCTTTTGAGTTTAGATTAATTTAACATCTAACTGAGGGTGACTCCTTGGCTGTTTAAACGGGTGTGAGGTTCTTAAACTTTTTGTGTGGAATTTTGGATTATACCGCTTTATTTTTGATCTCAATAACCTGCAGGCCATTTTTCATAAAGAAGAAATTCTGCCGAATAATAAAAAACAATGATTGTTATTACACTGGACCATTAACTAATTACTTTCTGAAAAGTGTACTTTCGATTGTTTCTGTAGATATTTAAATTTCAAATAAACTTTTCTTTCAAAAGAAACGACGGTTTCCAAAAAAAATAAATTTCAGTAATAAATAAGATCAAAAATTGGTAAATTGATCTGAATTTCAAAAGAATTCCTAATAGCAAATGATGTTCTTTTACTCGTTTTCTTACTTTAGAATAAGCACAGCGTGAGACATTCGGTATATTACCGTATTAACAGGTTGTCCCAAATACGTATTGTATAATATGAATTGTGGCTACTATACTTAATTTTATAGATAACAGTATAAGTATAATATAGATACATATATAGTGACGAAAAACAATGAGCGTTGGTGTATTGTTAATATCAGTTGTGAATTAATGTTAAGCGTTAGTGATATTATAAAAATAGTATTTTAATAGTAAAGTAAAAGTAAAGTGTCGAGTGCAAAGTGCTGAGAAGTAACAGAGTTGTATTTGAAGTATTTTGTTGTGTGAAGAATTAACAATTATTACTGTGGATAATTGTTTACACTTTACCTTGTACTTGTACTGTTGATTTTTCCATGTGGAGTAACCGAAAATAAAATAATGTTGAATTACTTAATGCATGTAATGGTTAAAGAACAAAATAATGTAAAGATAGATGAAATTTGCCAGCAGCCCATAAATTATATTAAAACCATTATTTAATTATCAAAAGAAGTCATCAATGAGCGCCTACCATAGACATAGAAATTTAAGGACAGAATATGAACTAGTGCGGTGGGGGCTGTCATGGGAAAGCGGTGATATAGCAGGTGCCTAGATTCCATTGGCTACCTGTACAGCGCACGCGTAGTGCATCGATGATAAATATACTCCGTCCCTATATTCCAATGTCTATGGTACCTACTTATTTGATTCGAGTAGTAAAATAATTTCAATAAATAATTAAATGTATAGAATTTTTCACGTGTTGAAACAACTGTTGTCACATATTTTGTTTTTAATTAATGAAAATCACAAAAATGCAAATAGAAATTAATTTTGAATGCCACGTATAAATTTGAGGAACACGTAAAAAAGAATTTCCAACTGTAGTCTTAAAAAGTCACAACAAGTATTGTGAATAAGTTTCAACATGTGAAGTAACGTATACAATTAATTAAGGCGAATATGTGACAACAAAAAAATAAATATTTATAGCAAATGAAACGTTAAGAAAATCATATACACTGGTAAAATCCATAAATGGCATTAATCTTTTAATAATTATCTCTAAATAATTAGAGAATGTTTTAAAACATTTCAGTCTCTTTTAGCGTCCCGTTTATTGTAATAAAGTGGGACAATAGCTTAGAAATTAATTTATAATAATGTAGTAGCTGAGTTGTAGTTAAAATTAATTATTTGTAAAATTAATAAGTAAACACCCTCTATTTTGCATGTTAATAATCTCATGTGTAAAACATAGACCTACAAGAACCCTTGGTTATAAACATTTAAGCCCCTAAGAAAAGGTAAAAAATAATTAAATTCAGCTTATGTACACTTTAATAAGCTGCTATTAATGTAACGCACAAACTTATTAAGAAATGGCGAAAATATATGATGATTGCTCTACATGATTTCATAAACCAGTAATGGAAAGAATTGCAAAGCTGAATCAGAGAAATAGAGAGGAAAAGATGACAGTTTAGAAACGTTAGGACGCCATATTTGATGTGCGCCATCTTGAATACCACTATCTCGACATGGCGTACGTTCTAACTTTGAGTTCGTCAGTTTTAACACCAATTCTTTAAAACAATTCTTCATACGAAGTGTGATGCAAGAAGATTGAAAAAACAGTTGAGGGATGGAGGTTTATTTAATATTATTTAATAACACCAACGTTTCGCCTATTCTTTTAAGTCTTTTTCAAGGCTTCAATAATTTTACAATAAGTCACGTTAGAACAATGAAGATTGTAGTTCCGTTATATATACTGTAACATTTAATTATTAACATATTAATCTGGTAAGTTTTTCCAGCATTGACTTATTTCGAAGTAAACTAATTCTAAAATTATTGTAGTCTTGAAAAATACCTTAAAAGAATAGGCGAATCGTTAGTGTGATTAAATAATATTACGTAAACCTTCACTCCCCAACTGTTTTTTCAAATAATTGAGTTTAGTACACAAAAATGAAAATACATAGATGTAATTAATATTAACTAGTTCTTCTTTCTTATCAGTCACTGTGAGCTCAAAACTGATAGCACCATTGGTTCGATTGATCGAAATTCACTTTTGTGAATAATTTGTTTAATCACTTTCTTTGTGTTAAAAATTGTTTGAAAAATTAAATTTAAAGGAATTGTTTGTAAATAGTTATGCAACACATCGTACACTTAAGCATAAGAAATTGCTGATACTAACTACGTACTACAGCACTCATATATTCCTTTATATATAAAATTCAGTAGAATCAAGACTTGCTTAGGTAAAAAATCTCAGTGCTAGTCGGACTCGCACATCATGAGTATTATATTATTATTATAAATCCCAAAAAGTAGATATAAACTAAGAAATTTTAATCATGGTTAGAGATAGTTTTCTCAACATAACGATCAATAATTTTCGGTTTTTTTTTTTAAGTTATCAAACTTTCCACTCTCTATATCTCTGAATTAAACTAGGCAGTCATCGTGTCAAAGCAACCCGAAGGGTGCCCTTATGAGATATGGCATACAATTAACCAGCTCTTTGTTTATTTACTGTTATTCGTATGTCTTGTACGTATCATATGGTATACACGAACCCTTTTCCTTCCTGACGATGAATATTCATAACTTCAGAAAATATTAATTTTATAATAGAGAGTAAAACAAAATGCTCTGAAAAGTAGCTTTAAAAACGTTTAAAAGATTCATTTAAGCGAAGTCATGTGATATTTAGTTTAGTATTAACAAGAAGAAAGAATAAGGATTTTAACCAAATTAGGAGAATAGGGACTTTTGGATCGAGAATTCGAATTAAACTGGCTCCATCTTTGCTACCGTGACGGAAATATACGAACAGTGAACCTACAAATTTATTTGTAAAGTAGATGCAAAAGCCAGTCCGGCCCTGGTAGGATCACGCAGGGAAATACGAAACGGCAACGCCGCATTCAATCAGCTGCTAACTAACAACATCCGTGTTGTATTTTGTACTCATGTATTATTTGCTATTTGTTAGATTATATTAAGTGTAATTAACTACGATTATGTTACTGTCAGTCTAGAATAGTCCTTTACTGTTTTAACGTTAAAGGCCTGCATTTATGTAGTTAGTCGAAGTCATTGACAATAGGTTCATGTGACAGTGTTACAGGTCAGTGAAGAATAGTGTTATTAAATTGACCAAGGCGTTAGTTTCAAGACGAAGGTTTTCCTAAACGTCGTATTGGACGTAAGGATCCTGTATTTTAGCCGGCGCGTTGGATCGCTGCAAATTAAGTATGCCAAATGCCAGACTTTTTTACGTGACTCAGAAATAACTTGGTAAACGCCTCGAATTCGGGTGTAGCACGGGGTTCGAATTTCGAACACTTTTATAATGTTCCTACGTATGTGTGTATGTTTACTGGTGTTGTAATAAATTTCCTTAATGAAACCAATTCTGGGTTGGATATTTACCTTCCAATTAATAAAATTACAATTACCCATCCAAAGGATATTAATTTACCTATTATTTAGGTAACATTAATTTTTTCCTTCTTTTGAGGTCGAGGTGTACTTTAAATAGTACTACATACTATTTGCGTTGAACAAACTAGTTATTTCATTAATTTTTATCGTAAGGGGCGTCTAAATATTATAAAGTAAATCTTTATTAGTCGTTTCATAACCATAACTATTTACATTCTTCATCGATGTAGTTGCATAGTTGTTATCACAAACACTCTGTACGTTGTCAATTTACGCCCAGGACCGGCTTCGAATTGCAACCTCATCTGGGTTTCTTTCAAATGTTATTGCCCCTTAACCACGCTGCCTTACTTACTATTCAATTCCTGATTACATGTAGTTATACTTCGTTTAGTTTCTCTAGCGAAGTGACCTTTAGTTTGACCGGCGCAAAGTAGAAAAGAACAGCACTAGATCAGAAAAGAAAGGAGACAACCCTAGGTCAAACTCTAAACCGATGAGGAGCGTATAATCCGTACAGTACTGCACGTAAAAATTGACCATTTTATCCACTACAATTGAATTGCTCAAATGCGCTGTTATTGGTACCATTTACTACTGAAAATATCAACGAGATGTTTATTTATANTTATTTACTGTTATTCGTATGTCTTGTACGTATCATATGGTATACACGAACCCTTTTCCTTCCTGACGATGAATATTCATAACTTCAGAAAATATTAATTTTATAATAGAGAGTAAAACAAAATGCTCTGAAAAGTAGCTTTAAAAAACGTTTAAAAGATTCATTTAAGCGAAGTCATGTGATATTTAATTCAATATTAATAAGAAGAACGAATAAGGATTTTGATCAAATTAACAGGATAGGGATTTTTGGATCAAGAATTCGATTTAAACTGGCTCCATCTTTGCTACCGTGACGGAAATATACCAACAGTGAACCTATAAATTTATTTGTAAAGTACAGGCAAAAACCAGTCCGACTCTGGTAGGACCACGCAGGAAAATACGACACTGCAACGCCGCATCCAATCAGCTGCTAACTAGCAACATCCGTGTTGTATTTTGTATTCATGTTTTGTTTGCTATTTGTTAGATTAGATTAAGTGTGATTAACGACAATTAAGTTATTGGCAGCCTAGAATAGTCCTTTGCTGTTTTAACGTTAAAGGCTTGTATTTATGTAGTTAGTCAAAGTCATTGACAATATGTCCGTGTGACAGTGTTACAGGTCAGTGTAGAATAATATTATTGAATTGACCAATGCGTTAGTTTCGAGGCGAAGGTTTTCCTAAACGTCGTATCGCTGCAAATGAAATACGCCAAATGCTGGACGAAATAATTTTGGTAAACGGCTAGAATCCTGTCCTCTAGCACGGAGTTCGAATTTCAAACACTTTTAGTAATGTTCCTACGTATGTGTGTATGATTACTGGTGTTGTAATTAATTTTCCCTAATGAAAGGAAAAGGCTATTGACAAATAACCCATAAAAAAGGTACAGTTCCTCAATGGTGGGTTGGATATTTACCTTCTAATTAATAAAATTGCAATTACCTATCCAAACGATATTAATTTACCTATTAATGTTTACGTAACGTTAATTTTTTCTTTCTTTTGTGGTCGAGGTGTACATTAAATAGTACTACAAATTATCTACGTTGAACAAAGTAGTTATTTCATTAATTTTTATCGCAATCGGCGTCTAAATATTATAAAGTAAATCTTTATCAGTCGTTTCATAGACATCACTCTTTACGTTCTTCATCGATGTAGTTGCATACTTGTTATCACAAATTTTCTGTACGTTGTCAATTTACGCTCAAGACCGGCTTCGAATTGCAATTTCTTCTGATTTTCTTACAAATATTATTGCCTCTTAACCACCCTGCC